GAGCACCCCCACTAGAGTCGCCATTTTTGAGACTACCTCCGTGGCCGAGTGGTTTGTACGCTGGGTTTCAAGGTGTCGCCTACTCGTCAGATTCGAATCCCGTTCGTTAGTCTAATGAATATGAGCGTGTGTACTTAAGTCATGGGGATGGTTTTATGTATTTATACATGAATTTTATTCTATAATTTTATATAATAAAGATTTATTTTTATTTTGGTATAAGTATTTAGTTTATTTAGTAGTTTTAATCTATTTTGTGAGTTTAAATAATATAGTATATTAGGAAATATTGTGAATAATAAATAGTTTTTAGTTTATTTAAAAAGTTTGAGAGTAAATAAAGGTACATGAAAAAACTACAATACATGAAAATATACTTGTAAATTTATCAGTATATGTATTCCCACCCATACCATAGGCATTTCAGGTCTCACTTTAGGGATAGGCTAATTGGTGTGGGTGTTGGAAATATTAATATTAAAATTTCAAAAGAAAAAATTACTAGAAATTATTTTACGTGGTCAGCTTCAATGTAAAAAAAATAACTATTTATTATTTTATATTTTTTTTGATGAAATTAAAATACGCATTAAGGGTAAACGCATTTTGATTGGCATGACGATGACGGTGTGATACACGTTCGGATGACGAATTTGGTGAAACGATGTATTGCCTTTAGTCGACGTGTCCACCACAGACGTCGACCAACCTACTACCTAGGCTTAGCATAAGCGGATGCTCTTGTAGAGTCTGCGCGGAAAGAGAATGGGCGTAGCGAAAAACGGAACTAACATTGAGATTTTTATTTGGCAATCAAACTCAGCAATCTGTAAAACGTCAAAGTTTTGTATTGATACGGATTTGTTTGTTGTTGTGATTTCTTCCGGTTTTTTGTATTTAATCATGTCTAAAAGGGGTAAAACCTTACAAATACGATAGAAAAGCACTACAGCGCCCTCCAGTCTAAATCCCATTCTCTTTCCGCACAGACTCTATGCGGTGTCTAGTGGGGGTGCTCTGTGTTTGAGATGCTGATGGCGGCAGGCAGAAACCGGACGAGACGGCAGATATAGGTAGTGCGGTACACCAGCTGTGACGTCAGAGTACTTCCGACACGTACACTCGGGTACAATAGGAATATTAGTAAAAATATTACAAAATTTAGCTTGATATCAATTTTATAACCAATATATTTGTTTCTTAGGTTTTCACGCACATCACTCATTAAATACCAAATAAAAAATTGATTCCGACGAAGCAGCCTGTAAAGGGTGCGAAACGTCAATAAATAAATAAAGTTTCGTGCATTAACCCGTAAAAAACTAATTTTATTTATAATCAATAGTTCAGTTGGTAAATTGAAATTGTTACTAAACAAATTAAATAAAACAAGTTCCAAAGGTTATAGATGCACTGAATTATTTATTTATAATGTTTCGGTAGTTAGGGCCAAATCAATAAACTGAAAATTATATAAAAAAGTACTTTATTAATTAAATTAGCTAATAAATTCATACATAGACAATAAAGTTTTAAAAATCTTCCAATGAAATATTCGAACGCTCAATAAAAGTCTTTCAAAGGTAGCTCGACAAAGTAAATCTATATATATAAAACTCAAAGGTGACTGACTGACATACTGATCTATCAACGCACAGCCCAAACCACTGGACGGATCGGGCTGAGGCATGCAAGTAGATGTTATGACGTAGGCATCCGCTAAGAAAGGATTTTGATCAATTCTACCCCCAAGGGGATAAAATAGGGAATGAAAGTTTGTATGAAACTTTGTCAATTTTAAACCGATCGGGCTGAGACTTTGCATGCAGGTATAAGAAGAATCATAGACGCATCAAAAACTGTAGTCTACACTTCAGCTCTACACCGAAGCGAAGCGAGGGCGGGCCGCTAGTAAAATCATAATTTTGATGACGCAGCCTGAAAAGGATGCGAAGCGTCCTAAATAAATAAATCAGTGCATATATACCGTTGAAACATGTTTTATTTCATGAGTGGTGTGCGTTAAAACCTAAGAAACAAATAAGTTAACATATTTTTCGAACGCTTTAAAAACGCAGAGTTAATTAATGACCTCACTTTCGTCCAATAGCGAGTTTCCAATAATAAAATTCATTTGCTTGTTATTCAAACACTTCAATTTTTATGAGTCGTCATTAAATGTGTGATGCTTGATTAACACGTGTGACAGCATCAACTCTAGTTAAACTTAAAAGTTCAAGGAAAATACATTTATTTTAAATGTACTATACATATTAATTATGGTAGGTACAAAAGTACTGAAATGGAGTTCCGTTGTGATATTAACAAGAATTGTAGACAAATACAAGAACGTGTCTCACTTGCCGTCTTCACGTACCGGGTCTTATGGTCTCTACTCCGTGATTTCAATTACAAATTGATCGATAAATCAGCTTTGCTTTATCCAAGAATTTTATAGGATTTTTTTCGGTTTTCCCTCTTTTGTAACGTGTCCAAAAAGGAGGCCACTCAGACCCGGTCGACTAACAGCCAACGGCTGCAGCAGTATTGTGTTATTTCCCAAAAAATGTCCCAATAACGATCTGATCCATTGCTTAGCTAAAGGATCACTCTCCGATCATGATCGGCGACACGGTTATAGATCGAAACAATCGACGGGTGATTTTCTAGCCTTCTTGAGTAACATCTGAAGTGAGGCACTTGACAAACGGAGCGAGTCATGAGCTATTAGCCTTCACATTGTCAAGCCTTTTACCAGCATTGGGCACAAAAGCCTTCTCTACAAGCTTCCGGCATACGGTTGCCTGCTCTGTTCTGTACCTGTATAGGTTCTGTGATTCACGAATAAAAAAAAAACTATACTATGCCTAATTACGCCGTCGCGTGGCGTCAAAAACGTGCGCTCTATCGTCTATGCCATGGCCAGAGTTCTGAGGAGTTTTTCTCCCTTATCCCATCTTCTCCTTTCTTTCACAGGACCACACAGGGGCGTTTTTTGAAATCTGGCGCCATGAGGCATTTGCGCTTTGCCCCTCCCACCCCCTAAATTAGTAAATCAAGTCTAAATATGGGTATCGAATTCTTGCTAGCTATTGCACCCGCCCCTCATAGCCTGCCTCCCTCTTTTTTATATATAGAGGTAGGCAAATGACTTTACCCCACCTGATGTTAAGTGGTAATAAAGTCCAAACGCGAAGATAGCTGGTACAGCAGTTATAAACTGCTACACCTATCATCCTCACCTTGCCGGCCTGCAAAAATGCTTCTTCACGCCCCTCTTAAAGGACCCCAGATTATAGGAAGGAGGGAACACTTGCGCGGGTAAAGAATTCCACTTACGAATAGTACGACAAAGAAATGAGTCACCAAATTTCTTTGTTCGTGTAGGAATAGTGGCCACAGTAAGTCGGTGGCAACGTAGGCCAGCGCGCGTGGTCCTCTGAAGAAAAGGTGATGGAGGGATAAGGGAGAATAACTCGTCAGAACACTCGCCGTGGTATAATCGGTAGAATGCGCTTAATGATGCCACATCGCGGCGTAATTGTAGAGACTCGAGTTTCTTGGTTACCTCTTCATCGCCAATGATGCGGACAGCGCGCCGCTGCAACCTATCCAAGGCATCGAGTAAGTACTTACCCCTTCTGCCTTTAGCCCTGGTGTAAATACCACCCTGGGACCACGTGTTCCGGTCTACGTTACCACTGACTTACTATTCGAAGTCAAATTAAGAGATTTTGTGACTCATTGCTTTGTCGCAATATCTGGATATGGATTGCTTTGTCCAGGCATGCGTTTCCTCTATCATACACCTCGGGATCCTTTAAAAAAGGAGGAAGAAGCAACTTGCAAGTCAGAGGGGAGATAGCAGATTTACCTGCTGCACCAGCTATCTTCCCAACTGGATTCCACCGTCTTTATGAAGACATATTATTATAAACCTGTAGTATTGTACTAACTGTTAACGAACTTTGGAAGTTTAAAAAAAACGACGGGTTGCACTCCGGGAGTGCCGGCAGAAGTGAAAACTTGATTATTAACGTTGTGCAATTTTGATATTTTGGAATTGTTACGGAATAATTTTGCACGAATTGCTTTAATTATCAGTATAAAAGTACTATCATGTAAGTGGTAGAATACAATATTTATTTATTGCGCTATCGTACACAAACAAGACAATTTATATTACATTAAAAAAGTTTATCTCTCAGAAAAAACAATTTACATGAATCACATTTAAGCGCACCTAGCGACATCTATTGTAAAAAAATGCATTTTCTTCGCAATAAAGCTGCCACGTGGACGTCCTACATAGAGACTTATTATTATAATACGATAAAATAAAATATTACAATGTTTCGTCCAATATATTGAAAGTCAACGACAACCTTTCCAATTTTATTGTGTGTTATGATGCGATCAGCCCACGTGTTTAACCTGACGCGAGTTTAACATTTTTTACCCATACAAAAAAAAGCTTTCACTTCAAAAACACCAGCGCTTTTAGCAGACACTATAGCGCCAATTCCTAATGGAATGGATCGAAAAAAGTCACGACGTTTTCTAAAAATACGAAAACTAACACTGAAAAAGCAAGAGGTATTATGGCGGCATTTCGATAAAACATCTAAAGGTCATTCTTTTACGGAGAGGTCTGTTTTTCTCGTTCTCAACAAAGAAGACAAATAAGATGATGAAAATCATATTTTTTGTTGATTATATAGGAATAATCTTCTCATTTTTAAATGTAATTAAAATAGGGTCCCAAAGCTCCCACAGGGCTTTAAAGGTGAATGCTCTTTGTCAAGCACAAATCTCTCATCAGATATCTTCGCATCTGGATACTGCTCAATTTCTTCGGAAGGGTAGGATTTTTTGCAATAAAAAATAAAATAATACCAATCTCGGGTGTATCCGACAAACCATTCAGCATCACTCCCCAGCATCAGTGCAAGGCCTTGCTACAAATCGCGCTTGCCGCCGCAATCAGCTCAAATTGATCAATTTGCCAATAACCACATCGGACACTACAGGCGTAGACGGTGCGCGCCAACCGACCTGGCAGCTATGTCACTGCGCACGGAACATTAAACAGCTTCTATTTATTTTTTCGCTATTATTAAAAGAACTTCTTTAATTGCCGAAATGCTGCGGTTGGTGGTAACGTTGGCTCTGGCAGGTCAGTAAGATATTCCGCATTTTTTTTAAATCAGCAAAAAGTTTTATTAACATTTTTTTAAATGTTGCAAGGAGGTTCGACAATTCTGAAACTTGTTAGGGAATTGCATAAATGTAATTACGAATGAAAATAGTTCTTTCTAGATGTGATGTGGAGTACTTACCTTAAATGTTACAAAAATTTGCTGTAACCTTAAGTTTATTTGTAAACTTAATTTTAAGTTTGGAAAGGATTAAAATGAAATCATTCAAGAATGAAAGAAAATGTATTTCAAATAGGCAATTAAAATTTAATAGTTGACAATATGTAAAAAGCCTAAGTTCTTCAATTAAATCTATTAAAGGTTATATTATTTATTATGATTTGTATGATTTTAAAACTATGATTCGTAATGTTTATATCTAATAAACATTACGATACTTATGATAATTTAAAAAAATGTCTCTCTACTTTTTTCAAGTACCTATGCTTTTCAGAATATCAATAAAATTGTATTATCGTAGATATCGGTTTAAAATAAGATAAAATATATTTACGACGTCAGATTAAACAGAGGTCAAACTGATATTGCGATTTATCTCATCCCATTTGGATTGGTTGATGTCTAGTTATATTATGTGTAGGTAGGAGGTGGGTGGATATTGTATAGGCAGACACCCAGACACACGTTATATAAAAAAATAGCTATCCATTTCACATTACACATAGATATATCATCATTATACTTATACCTATAAGATGACAAAATCTGTATTGTAAAGACGCATCAGGAGAAATTGTCAAATTAAACAAATTATAAGCAATCGAAACAATTGTATCTTTCGTCGTCGTTTTGTGTCGTATCTTTTTGTATATATTTACCTTTTCAAGTAACTTGTTATTGGTGCGTTTATAGCATAAGTGGGTCTGGAAAACTGTTTGTTTTAAAAAACCTAATTCTAGAGAAAAGGCAAAAATCTGAATTACAACGTCTACGTAGAATTTGCTATCTAAGAATGGCTCTAAAATATAAAATCTGGACTAACGCTGAATTTAGACCGAAACTTATACCTACTTAAAAGCGGATATTATCTTCTATTTCTTCCTTGAGTCCTGATTTTCCAGACTCAATAAATATTTGGGCTTACATGATTGGAAAAACCTGTTCAACTCAAGAAGCAAAGAAATATGAGAGAAAATTTTAAGAAAATGTAAGAAAACCAATTTCAGTTCGAATTAAAGCGTGGCCTTGGGGTAGTAACCTTGGATCCGTACGTCACAAACTTTTCTTTACAGCTATGTCACGGTAATATTACTATGTGTGGCAGTGCAGTGTTGCACAAACAAAAGATTATTGGCCTCGACCACAGACCACACTGTACACACCTTCGCGCCAACTACAAACCGGACGTTAAAACGTTTCGTTTCACAAAAACTTGTCATGTCCAAAATCTTGCGCAAACTTAAATTGATATAGTGTGAACCGGCTTTGTGGCTGGCAGGAGCTGGATGCGAGTAGCCCAAGATCGATCTGAGTGGCGTGCAATTGGAGAGGCCTATGTCCAGCAGTGGACTAGGATAGGCTGTTGATGATGATGATGATGAACCGGCTTTTACTGTGGATTATATTTATGATTAAAATCTTATAACTAACAAAATGAAATGTAAATATACTTTATTCAATTTTTTAATTATCCAAAATTCTTTCGAATTATCCAAAATTGTTTATTACCACAAATTCAGGATATCTTCTATTGGATAAGAAGAATGGGCGCAAGAAACTAATGCTGCTCTACTAAATCTCGATTTTATCACGCATAATTGTCAAATTGCTATGGAGTTTGACAATAAGACGCAATAAAAATCGTGATATAATATAAATTATGGTGCTCATGCTACAGGTACAGAATGCATGATAGTAGCGGCTCGCTATGATGGCCGTTTTGACGTTTTTGCATTCATGAAGTTTCATATTCAAAATTAGTTCTCAATTTGAAAGAAATATTTATTGTTCTTCATTGTCATTAGAGACGCGCATTTAGTCATTAAATTTATCGAATCGGTAATTTTAGGGTGTAGATTTGATTTTTTTATAAAACTACATATATAAAATCATCGTCTAACTTATATTAAGGCACCGAAAACCTTTTCAAGTTTAAAACAATTAAATATTATATCATTTTTAATTCCAAAACACGGGCCCTTTGAATCTTGAAAGGATTAAGTACATTAATTAAAATAATTGTTTTAATCTTATTATCATTAAGAAATGTTATATCATACAAATAATAAATAATTATATTGTACTTATTCGCCACATAACTGTATTTGTGTTTTTAGAAATTTTAAATGTAAAAACAATTAATAAGATCGTTACATTAAGGATTGCTGAGTGTGAGTAAAAATGTATGTTTTCGTATTATTCAATCTTAATAATCAGCAACTCTATGCAATATTGGTAAAAAAATAAACACTTTATTTCCTCGACGTGAATCGTATTTGATTACAAAGGATTTTTTTCGATAACAGGTTGACTTTTCCCGTCACTATTGCAATGTGTCAAAACAGTCATCATATCGTGCCGCGACTATACTTACAAGAAGTCAGTAGGACGGGGAGAGTATTTTCCAAAAATCCACTGGCTCATTTCAAAATGCAGTCTTTATCTAATCGTAGTATTATTCACGGGATTTTCGTAACCCTCAACAGTTTATTGCCCGCAAATTCTTTTTCTCTTTCTCTTCTTTCTTTCTTTCTTCTTTCTTTTTCTTGTTGAAGTTAAGCAAATTTCGCATTGGTCGGTCATTGGATGGGTGACCAAAAATCTTCTATCTCGAGAACCTCTGTACTTCTGAAGGGACGTTAAGCCGTTGGTCCCGGCTGCATCTGCAGTCGTTAGCACCCGCCACTCCGCACTGGGCCCGCGTGGCGGGTCATGACCGAATCCATCTATAGGGAAGGCCTGTGCCCCAGCAGTGGGGATATTTTAAGCTGAATATTCGTGTTCCAAATAAATATACTCGTAGCAAAATAACTCCTTTATGCCCTTATTGAAAACAAGTGGTAGGTGAGCATGATTGGTAGGCACGTGGCTGTATTTTCTGGAGATTTGAAGCATATCAGCGCCTACCTTATAATTAATGGTAAAATCGTAGATGCTATGCATTGCTATATATTTTCAAACGGAATTTACAAAAAATTGAAGAATCGATTCGAATAAGTTATGTACTTCGATGTTTAAAACTTTTATCAAAAAAGTTTTTAATGCAAACGAATGGAATACCTACCTATATTGTATTCAAAAATAATTGACTAAGTTATTTTATTAAGACGAAGTTTTGTACTTCTAAAATTTTATTGAGAGCAGGATTCGGACCGTCTATAATTTCACGTTGACTACTAGCGCCACCACAAAACTGATGTAGAGTAGTCAGCTGTTTTTGTTGTTTTGCTAAAAATATTTCTGTAAATAAGAGCACTAACAATTATATAAGTAAACTTGTTAGGATTATTTTAGTTAAGCAACCTTTTAAGTTTCGGAAAAGAGAACTAAGTCCTCACTACATAAACAGGTAATCTTATCTTTGTTGCTTTTGTTATTGATTTTAGGTTATGCTTTCCTGACGTTCTTGACATAAAAATCCCCTCTACTAAATGACAGTCAGATTTCGGGTTGCCATCACACAGAAGTGAGAAATTACCAGTGTTGCCAGGTCTCCAGATTTTACAGGAGTTCTGCTGTTTTTCTACAATGAATCTCGTTTTTCTTAGAATACGATTTTCTGTTTTAAATTGCATGTTGAGTTGTAGTTTCCGCCATTAATAATGTAGGTAACCTTATTATATATTTTTTTATTTAATTATTGTCTATTCTATGTCTATTTTATTTCCATACATCTACTGTTTCTTTCTATAACGCCACCCGATTTTTTAAATCGGTCCTGGCAACACTGGAAATTACCTAAAATCTGCTCTTTGTTTTGAACAGCATAGTAGTTTTTTCACACTTAAAATGTTTGTTGCAGCCGCCATGGCCAAATGCGATGAAGAAATAATGAAGAATTTGACGACAGTCACGTGGGCACACGCTGTCAACAATAAAGCTTACCTGGAGAAAGCATTAGCTAGTAAGTTTTTTGTATGTAATATTGCAAAATTGGATAGGTAGGTACAAAGTTTTGACGTGACAACGTCTTAAATTAGGTTGCGGCTGGGAGTCACTTATGAAAAAGTGTAACGCTCGGTAACGTTACGATGAGTCTCTCGTGTTAAGTTTAAGTTTACATGTACAATGTTTTAGTAAACAAAATATATTTCTATAGTTAAAATTTGTGCAATTCTTATTTTCATTCAATTCCTTGTTCCTATTGTGCAATTTAATTATATTCATATCAATAAATATTCTACCGAGAAAAAGACGTTGTCACGTAAAATCTTCGCCCGTAAAACCGACTTTACAGGCAACCATTTTTTTTTTGAGTGTGTATGCTGTTGGTCGTATGGCGGCGACATCTATATGCCGTTAGCCTCCGAATTTCATTTGCACGATGTAGGCTTCCATACTAATATTGATCGCAGTGCAGGTAACGCCATCTCTTGAGGATGGTGAGTAACGATTTCCTCCATCCGTTGTCTATATGTGAGGCATATAGATGTCGCCGCCACAGTCGCAGATGACCTTTACAGCGTCACCGGGTTTGGGGACGGCGAGATCCTAAAGGGACCTCAAGCCGGGAATTGGCGACTGCCTCTAGAGGTATTCCAGGCGGATGGCATCTCCCCACTGGGGGAGTCTCCACTCCGTCTGGAGCCTCTAGACCACTCGAACCTGAGGTGGTTGGCTCAACTAGAAGGCGTCTCTGAGACACAGACCTCAGCTCTAGTTACCATTTATAAACCTTCGGCGGCCAGAAATAACAAAATGAAATCGTAAGCGATAGCAATAGCCATTGCAATCCCGTCAGACCAGTTTACCCTGGTTTGCACTTGCAATCCTTTGAACATAAATGCTCTTGATCTACACAATGAACTTAGTAGTTTGTACGTTCCTGACCGATATACGCGGTACGTCGTAAAAAAATCAACTACAGAGACATATTATTATACTGCGTCAAGATCTTCGAAGTACTTTTGGCAAAGAAACCATTGCGCGCGACTTGAGAAAACTTTTACAAAATAATGACACCTACTCCTTTATACTTTGTAAAAGCTACAGTCAAAACACTTTAAGGAAAAAAGTTTACAGACAGGGCTGTATGGACTCAGAATCCTTTGCCCGACCCAAAAGGGACAAATTGAACAAAAAATAATCGTTGGCCCGCACTGTGACCCGCGCTTCATCCTCTTTGTCGTTTTATGACTCAATGCACTCCTGGCTGATAAGCCGAGTGTGATGTGTACGCAGATGGACGAAATAAAAAAATGTACGATTATTTATTGTTTTGCGAGAAAAATGAGTGCGCATCCTTATGTTTGCAATTCATTTGTATTTGTTTTTTACTAATTGCTGTAAATGGCTGTTATGCCGTGATAATTATAAATAAATAAATAAAATAAAAAAAAAAAAACAAAAAGGCTCGGTCGAAACCGAAATAAAACACTTAGACGACCTCCGTGGCCGAGTGGTTTGAACGCCGGGTTTCATGGTGTCGCCGACTCGAGAGGTCCCGGGTTCAAATCCCGGTGGGGGCAGATGTTTGTGTGATGAATACGAGCATTTGTACTCCAGTCATGGATGTTTAATATGTATTTCTATATAAATATACATATATATGTACTGTATATGTATTCTATCCGTTACCCTAGTATCTCATAACACAAGCCTTACAGTGCTTACTTTGGGGTTAGGCTAATTGGTGTGAGTGTTGGAAATATTTATTTATTTCTAAAGAAAAGTTTACTAGAAAAAAATCCACGCGGACCAGGCAGCGGACGGGACTCGAACCCGCATCCTTCGCAATCCGGGCGAATGCACTGACCATTATGCTACCACGGCCCTATTCGCCGCGTCGAAATTTTCCCAGCGTTAAGCTGCAAGGCAGCGCCATCTCTTCGCATTGTAGGTAACCCACAATGCGAATGCGAAGAGATGGCGCTGCCTTGCAGCTTAACGCTGGCATAATGGTCAGTGCATTCGCCCGGATTGCGAAGGATGCGGGTTCGAGTCCCGTCCGCTGCCTGGTCCGCGTGGATTTTTTTCTAGTAAACTTTTCTTTAGATTTAAACATCTAGCAGTTAAATGCTTAAAAATAAATAAAAACATATTTATTTATTTATTACTGGAAATATTTGATGATCGAAGCTCTGCGATTGAGTGCCATTTATTTTAACTGCAGTTAGAAGCTATATAAATTAAGTACACACACTGGATATCCAACATTCCTACCGGTAAAGCTAGTACTGCGGTTTCAAATACTTGTTTATTTTAACGACTATAAAAACATGATATTTCTCTGTCGACTGTTGTATGTAAGAAAGGGAGGGCTAGCGTTTAATTCAAAACATTAGACTGTATTTCGTACTGTAGGAATGGTGCAAGATTACAGAACACGTTGGTACTAATAACAGATGCCCTAAGCTTTATTAATACATACTATATTTTTTCTTTTTTAAGCATGTAACTGCTTGATGTTTAAATCTAAAGAAAATATAACTAGAAAAAAAAAAGAGATGGCGCTGCCTTGCAGCTTAAGAATGGCTAGAAGAATTTCAACGCGGCCATCAGGGCCGCGGTAGCATAATGAGGGCTACCGTTTTCTGTCTCACCAGATGGCGCCACTGTTGAGTGAGGTCCTAAATTGTAACTTTTAAAGTTTATTAATACGCACATGAAATCAAAGGTTACATTTAGATCGTATTTTAACACAAAAGAACCATATCCTAAACATAATAGGCCACGTCCAGTTCCGTTTTATTCGGAAAAAATGGGAACATAATCATTTTTCTAAGCTCAAATTTTTAATAACTGACATTCATTGCCACATAACTCATAGTTACCAATTATTCACAACATTATTTTAATTAGAAATAAACCCGCGTAGTCAACCAACAAGCAATAACATTTGACATTTCGGAGACCTCACGCTACACTAGCGCCTCTAGCGCCTCTAGCGGCGGATTCATACGCGATAGCCCTCATTGGTCAGTGCATTCGCCCGGATAGCGAAGGGTGCGGGTTCGAGTCCCGTCTGCTGCCTGGTCCGCGTGGATTTTTTTTCTAGTTATATTTTCTTTAGATTTAATACATACTATTTATTTAGACGATCGGTTAGTGCAAGCTTTTAAGGATCCGTACTTCAAATGAAAACAAAAGGAACCCCTATGCCAGAAATTTATTTATCTGTCGTGTTGTGTCGTGACGCGTCAGAGAGCTATCAGTACCCCTAGCACGAACCATTATCGAATTCGAATAGTTTGCAAGTAAGAAATGTCAATGTCAAATTTTTTATGGAAACTTGAACAGCAGCGCCGCAACGGACGTAAAAAGATCTAAAAATCAGTACTCATTTGACAATGACATTTCTATTCGAATTCGATATTGGTTCGTACTAGAGGTACTGTTTATGTACACTCGGGGAAAGACCTGTGGGCCAATCGCCTAACTGGATTGCTTTGGAAAACGCTATCGCTTACGATTTCATTTTGTTATTTCTAACCGCCGAAATACCTCACGCTCATTTTCTTTAACATTGTTATTACCAATGCAAAGGAAAAAAAAGAGCGCGAGGCATTTGAAAACCTCAGGGGGCTAGAAATAACAAAATGAAATAGTAAGCGATAGCGTTTTTCAAAGCAATCCAGTTAGGCGATTGGCCCCCCGCTCTGTCACCCATAACGCCATAATCGCTTGCGGTAGCCGCGTAGTAAAAATTCATTCATAGACATGTCATTATCGCTGTCGTACTTTTTCGTATAGCGCTGTCGCGATCACGATGCGGATGACAAATTGCAACTAAAACAAATGCAATTCAATTCATTTATTCATCAATGAAATGCTCTCTGTCTTACTTTTGTGCGGCGGCCCGGATTGGCGCGTCCGACGCGAAGGCGGGGTAGTAAAAACTACTGTAGAAAACCGTTCAAAGCATTTTGTTCGCCAAGTGACAGAGCGCAAAATTCCGCGACAGTACCTATCTACAAAGTAAGGTACCCTCGGTAGACGAATCCGACTCACATCTTGTCTTGTTTCTTTTTACCTTAATTGAATTGGAGCTAGACTACTTGTACTTGGGTTGTCGTGCGTGAGGGTTACCAGATGATAAAATCAAAAGTCCGGAGAAAAGGCTTGATTTCCATTGAAAAATCCTGAGATTTTTTACAGTTTCAGAATTTTCTCTCAAAAGTACTTAACAATTTAAAAAAAAGTCGTAATATTATCGTTTATACTCTGCTTACACTTTTAAATCAATATAATTTGAAGAGCTTCACATGCGGGGCATTATATGAATCCATAATTAAAGAAAAAACCTTACTTAAAAATGTACTCGTATCTTCACATATTATGTATGATAAAACTGATTAAGTACTTACTTGGATAATAAAGAAAGAAAGAAAGAAAGAAAATATTTATTTGAGACAACATGTGTAAGTAAGGTGTCGTGATTTTAGTGGTGCATAACATGTCGTGCCGATATGGGCATACAAATTCAGCAGGTTATTTGAATATCATGTCACAAATCTTAATATTCAATAATAAAACATGTCAAAGTCAAATGATTTCAATTCAATATAAAAATGTTAAAATTAATCAAAAAAATAGAAATAATAATAATCAAAACATAATTACAATTCAAAATTTGTCAAAATATGTCAATAATAAAACACGTCAAATTCAAATGATTTCAATTCAATAATAAAATGACAAAATTAATTAAAAAAATAGAAATAATAATAATAAAACATAATTAAAATTCAAAATTTGTCATTTAAAAATTCGGATACATCATAATAACATTTATCTAATAATATATTTTTAATTTTCTTCTTATATAAATTAAAATTTAATTCTTTTATATATGTCGGGAGTTTATTATACATTCGAGGGGCCATACAGAATATGTTTTTTCCCATAAGAGCTGTTCTCGAGTTTGGCATGCACAACCTACTATTATCGCGTCTATTGCGATCTATAACATCTGCTATTCTAACGAAAAGATGCATGTTATCTTTTACAAATAGTAAAACCTCAAAAATGTACATAGACGGAAGTGTCAGAATTTTATGTTTTAAGAAATACGGTTTACAGCTGTCCTTATATTTTTAAACCAAACATTGCTCTTATGCATCTTTTTTTGCATTTTAAATGCTGTGTCTTTATCAGTAGATAAAGTACTGATTTTAATTGTGCAATTATTACCAATAGAAGATTATTTTTAGTTTAACTTTTTGTAGTAAGCTGTATTTTATTGGAAATTCAAAAATCCTGAGATTTCATGAGATTTGCAAAATCCAGCCGCAATCCTGAGAAGAGTCCAAAAATCCTGATATCTCAGGACAAATCCTGAGATATGGTAACCCTATGCGCGAGCGTCTAAGGCTCACGGAGCGGTTTTTCCCCGCATCTGCAATTCAATTAATGGCTGTAAGTTTGTATAGTATATGTATATCCTCGGTTTATAACGTCTATAGCGGAGATCGATGGCGCGGGTGGTTAGGGCGTTCGGCTGCGATCGCTGTAGTTAAGCAACTTCCGCAGTGGTCGGTCATTGGATGGGTGACCAAAAATCGTCTATCTCGAGTTCCTCCGTGCTTCGGAAGGCACGTTAAGTCATTGGTCCAGGCTGCATCTGCAGTCGTTAGCACCCACCAATCATCATTGTCATGAGTGGGTCATTGCCCAATCTCCCTATTCCATCCATAGGGTAGGCCTATGCCCCAGCAGTGGGGACATTAATAGGCTGATGATGATGATGAAGATGTTCATGTATGTGCTGCTTGGGGCAGAAATAGACATATTGACGGTTGCATCACAATACATAGATGAAAACTTAGTGTTTGTAAAAAAACATATTAATTTATTTACTAAAAATAGTGAAATACATACACTTAATACTAGAAGCAAAAATAATTTAACCTAACCTGCTACTAGGCACCACAAAGTTAATAATTCGTTAAGAGGTCTTTGTGTTCGCTTTAACAATAAAGTCCCAAGCAATATTCAAGGGTTAAGACTGACTAAATTTAAATCGACCATTAAAAAATCTTGTAATAAAAGCTTATTATTAAGTGTCTTATTAAATTATACTCTTAGTGTCGCCGCACACGGGCCTCCGACCACAACCACAAAACGCCGCCACCGGCATATTTCTTGTAGCTTTCATACATTTTATATGGACTCGCCACACACGGTACGCCGGTGGCTGCCACGCGCTACAAATCGTCGTTGCTCGCTTTTTGTGCCCCGCACCGACCACTTAATGCGCCGATACAAAACGCCGCCACACGCCACTCGCGCGATTTCCCACCGCTCTCTCCCTTACCTCAGTCGGCCGCTGTCGCGCGCTTCAGCCACTTTAGTAGCCGCTTCTAGCTTCTCGTGGCGGCGTTTGTGGCTGTGACGTGTGGCCCGTGTGCGGCGGCACTAATTGAATTTAAAGGTTGTATTTATGGAAGAATATCAGACTGTTTAAGAATATTTGAATGACAAAACAGCGTGGTCATGATTTCTCCATTGCTTCTGCTTTTGTAATTGTTTGCAGTGTCCTACAGATAAATGACCTGAAGTAAATATGTTGTAGTTAGTATGGGTGATTATGGGTAGTCATGCGCTCTTAAAAGTCTCTTCGGTGGGGTCATGTAAAGCGTGTCGTTACGTTCCCTAAAATATGGTGGAGCGAAGCAATGGCTGGTTCATGCGTCATGCTCGTGAACGGGTGCCAGCGAAGATGAGTCTGCCCTAACTTCCTTGATATTGAAGATGTTAATGTCTAGTTACCCTTAATATAAATAACACTATTTATATTTATACTGTATGGCATAGCAATCAAAATGCAGGTCAACAATGAATGTATATTTAATCATTACCTATGTAATGAAAGGTGACTTCATGAATCTTCTCTGAAGTCTTCTTTTAACTTGACGACTCTGTAAATAATAAAATAGGGAGAAAAAAACAGGCCCTTGCTGAGTTTCTTGCCGGTTCTTCTCAGTACAAGGTCTCCCGCCGTAGATTCCCGAACCGATGGCGTAGCTTCAAGACATTCATGAGTGCTTGTAACAGCCTAAACTGAATTAATAATTTTGATTATGATTATTATGATTGATTATTAGTCTTGTGTAAAGTGGGGGTAACTTGGGGAAGGTACACCTAGTCTACAGAGGTATTTCTGTGAACTCACTGGGTTGTGGAAAGAAGTATGCATCAATATCATCTGTCCCCGTACGTAGAGCATCGCGATATGATTTATAACTCGTTTTTGTCATGCGGAATTGCAAATTACTATGGATGTGGATATTATATGGATTTTTTTCTAGTAAAACTTTTCTTTACATATAAACATCTAGTAGCTAAATGCTCAAAAAAATAAAATCATAATTACTATGGGTTTGACAGTTGGACGTGATAAATAACGTGTGAGACTGCTGTAATGGTATCCATACACACTACTAGAAATCGTTACGATTAGACTGTACAGGCCGAACGGTACCGATAAATCGTAGCGTGTATGTTATAAAACTGCACAGTTTCCTACGATTTTTGAAGACTGTGCAGTTGAACGGAGCAATATGAAAATTTCAATTGATTTATCGGAATCGGATGAACTGTACCGAATAATCGTAACGTGTATGCGCTCGTTCAGTTTTCGTGTTCAGTTTTGTCGTCAGTTGCAGTTCGGGTAGACGTATTCAGTAGATGTAAGTATGTATCATGATCCATTCTTAAAAAAATATGCCAGTCTTTTGGAAACATCTATTTCTCGTAGTGTGTATGGTCACTTTCATGCTCCTCGGTAAGAGATTCGTCGCTCATCTTTCATGCCTTGTTCCGGCTCGTACAGGAATAGCTGTTGTTCCTAGTAGTTCTCCCCTCGGTCCTGTTGGTGCCACATGTTCCGAGAATTGTGGCGATTTATAACAATTGCCGGCTCAAACGGATTCCAACACAAGCTTGCAATTGTTGTTCACTGATTGGTGCTATATTTGTACCGGGGAACTCGATGGCGTAGAAGTTAGCACGTTCGCACTGCCATTGTGGAAGCTTAGCTTCGCTTCGCTCTGTCAGTGGATGAGTGATCAATTATTTGTTAACTTCTGCTCATTTGAAGGATCACTCTAACATTAAACCCTTTTAAATCCTCTTTAATGTCGTACTAAATTTGGTAAGAGCTTCCTTATGTAGATTTAAATGCTCTTTCGAGAGGGATAAGTTCTCGATGAGATTAGATTCCTCAGAAGGTATTTGAAATTTAGCTGTACATATACATAGAACTGTTTCTATAACAATTTGGTTTATTTTTATGGCCTCGTTCGGTAAATAGGGCAATTGTTATTAGTAAACGTAATACTATTCCTTATTATTTCTCGGAATCAATATAAGTACTTATTTAAGATTTGTATTATGTTTATCACGGCGTTCGTTGTGAGTCTCGAAGAAGTCTTCTGCATTAACCAACAAATGCTCAGCCGTCTTTTTAATCACTTTCGATGTTTTGCATCCTTTACAGCACGTAGATTCTGTAAGATACAATCTCACTTACGATCTTACTTATTCGTATTTCTGACAATTGTCAAATATCTTTTATCGGCCGCTTCCAATATCATTGCAAATGCTATCAAACTACAGTCTAAATTGACAGCTACCGAATTCGGAAGTGAGATTTAATTTTACTGAATTGCCCTGAAGATTTCGTGTCGAAAGAGTGAACTTTTTTGTAATCATGATTGACGATTTTTAGATTCATCATCTATTATAGATCATTATTAGGCTGAAAAGTATTTAAATAATTTAATAGCGATTGGTAATTATTTAAATAAAAAATCAATAAAAGAGAATGTATCTTTGAGTGTGACCGATAAATAATTTTCTTCACCAGGCGAGGTATCCATGCTGGAGGCGGACATCGTACTAGGCCACATCACGGGCAAGGACGGGCCACCCATCCCGGTTATGGCACACCCGCCGGCCACCAGCTCTGACCTGAGCCTGTCCGAATTCCTGTCCACCGTGAAGCAACACAACAGCCACAGTGCCAAGCAGAAGGGCGTCAAGCTGGACTTCAAGTCTATTGAGGCGTTTGAGAAGGCGCAAGCCCTTATCGCTCCGTACAGCAAGCTTGAGGTAAAGCATGATGAATTTGGTGCAAGTCGCGGCGTAGTATACCAAATGAAAGGTGATGTAGGCCACTTCCTCACCGGGTCGGTGCGGGCCACTGTTTGCCAGGTCTTTGCGGCTGGGGGGCGGTATGGGGGACGTCTGCGGGGGGGGGGGGGGGGGTCCCCGCAATACCTCGGGAGACCCCTGCCGTGGAGCCCCGGCGAGGCCGGGAAGCTGCTAGGTGCGAAGACGCGGAAGAATCCCTAAACGGGGATCCCGCATTAAGCAGTGTAGAAGGTATTCGCAGGACATTTTTAGCGGATATTATGCTGTGAAGCGCCCGTAAGAGTTGCGGGGTCCTCGATGGTCAGCCACTGGGGGGTCCGTAAGACTTGCAGGAGCCAGGTGAGAGGTCCGTTCGGCGGTGTGCCTGTTAAAGGCGCCGTCGTCTGTAAAAAGTATTCTTACCTGCGTTATAAAAAGAAAAAAAGGTCTTCCGATTTTACAGGAAATCTCCTGTTTTTCTGAAATTTCTCCTTTCTTCTGTTTTTCAACATGAATCTATTGTTTTTCTTAGAATACGATTTTCTTTTTCTTTTTTTAAAAAAAAACAAGCTTTGTGTGGCGGCTGAAACCACTAAAACACATTCGTTACTAGCCTATATCTTGATTTGATTTACCGTGGATATACTACGCCTCTGTATCTACTATTTGTTCTTGTAGGTGTTTCCATTTTTTTAAACACTCACACCAACTAGCCCCAAAGTAAGGACTATAAGGTTTGTGTTATAGGATACTAGGGTAACGGATAGAATACTTAAACTTTACATATATAAGTATATTTATAAAGAAATACATATTAAACATCCATTACTGAAGTACAAATGCTCGTGTTCATCACACAAACATCTGCCACCACCGGGTTTCGAACCCGGGACCTCTCGAGTCGGCGTCGCCATGAAACCCGGCGTACAAACCACTCGGCCACGGAGGTCGTCAAACCATATATCTACTGCTTTTCTCTATAACGCCTCCCGATTTTTAAACATCGGCCTGGCAACACTGGTGCGGGTTCGTTGTTTTCGTTTCTGTATTGAATCTGTATAGCCGAGATTCTTTGCCGAGAATTGTTTTCTTTTTTTGTGCTTCTTTTCTTTGTTTTTTTTTTATCTTTATCTCATAATTCTATTACATATTTTTCTTATTATGAATATTTACATTTTCGTTTCTCTGAATTTTTAATTTCTTATATCTATTTTACAATCATTTTTCTTGTTTATTTATTTCCTACTAGCTTTTGCCCGCGACTTCGCCCGCGTTTTCGTCGATTTTCGTAAAAAAGTAGCATATGTCCTTCCTCAGGGTTCCGTGGTTTTGATGTGACAGACAGATTAACTTTCGTATTTTAGTAAGGAAATATAATATGTCAATCCACAATACTGTTAAAAATATCGCAATAAGGAACCGCAGAATATTATTATTATCACTGTGCCCCGAGACCATCAGCGTGTAACTCCTTGTATGTTATTATGTTAATGTATTGATAATATTGTTTAGATCGCTTTCACATGAGGCTTAAGTACATATAGAATGAAAATACTTCAGCGCAAAGCTTCCGGGTAAACTACGTTGAAAGTTGACCCGTCCGGCACGTGAACATAAAAATTTCTAGGAATTAACACGGGAAAGAGCGACATAACTGACCATGTGAAAAACAACTGACACCGGGATCTACTCCAGCAACACGAAAAGTCTGCCCTTGAGCCTTATTTATTGTCATTGCATAACACACCGATACTGGGAATTGCGTTCTTTTAAATTGGAATGGAAAATTATTTGGTATTATGGGAATTCTGGGAATAAAGATGGTTTCTCCTGCACCGCAACCTGTTAAAATTTGAGCCTCGATTACATTTTGTTGCAACTGGCTTACTTCAAGCCGAGTTCCATTGCAAAGTTGTGGTGGTCTTAAATTTCGGAGCAGAATAATCGGAATGCCAATTTTCAAACAAATTTCATGAGAAGGAAGTCCGGGCATATTTAAAGAATTTAAAAATTCTATCGGGTAATTAGTGGCTTCTTGTTTATCGGCCATTCTATTTATTGAACTATAAACTTTGCTTTCCCCCTGGATATTCGACAGTATTTTATTGCCTGGTCATTGCGAGGAGTTAAAATGGACTTTTCGCATAGCCAAGATTTGTCCTTATTTAATATATTTGTTACGTCACCGTAAACTGACGATGTAAGATGTTGTTGGGATTGCACTATACAACATAACTCAGGCGTCAGAATAAGTTTTCCTTGGTGTAGCAGTGGATAGGTATCTTTGGTGAAGGTATTTTCTTTAATAATATATCAGAAAATTCACGATCATCCGGGTTATCTACAGTTCTCACTCGCATGTTTATAGTCAAATGCACCGATTGTATATCACGCCACAAATAAGAGCTTTTCAGGCAAGCCCTAACCTCATCAGCTCGGGTTCCCCGTGGATTACCGGTAAGGTTTGTTGGAAATCACCACAAAATAAAACTGTGATACCGCCCATTGGTCGATCATTTTGTCTTATATCCCTTAAAGTTCTGTCTACCGCTTCTACTCCTTTTCGATGGGCCATCGTACATTCATCCCATATGATTAAATTACACTTTGAACGAATATTTAAACATTACCAAAACAACTAATACCTATTTTACAAAATAACAACAAAAGAAATTCAAATAAACTATTTAAAGACTAAAAGTCGCGCTGATAAGCACGGTTTCTCAATATTTCTCAATTATTGTCTGCAAATACGGTCGAACGCTCTGAACGCATCAACAGCCAAGTATTGAAGCTCGCTCGCTCTCTTTTTTTCATTTTTTTTGTTTCCTCCCAGGCGGGGGAGCAGGTGAGAAATCCTCATGGATACCCTACAGCCGGCTGCAAGGTTATGTCAGACTCGTACTGACTAAAAAACACCCGTAGGCCTGGCCGGGAAGGCCTCTAAGGCTTCATCGGAAGCGATCGCCCCCAGGGGGGGAGCGACGCAGAAAACAGATTTAGACAGCTCGCTCTCGGACCTCCCGCCTTTTGATACCCTACCGCCGCCGCGACCCGTTACACAAATCCTTATAGCATGATTCAGTATTCACGTGCGACGGCGCGATGGCTTATTTCATGTATAAGTTTGGTGTTTCTATACCGATTTCTATGTTTTGTTTTTATTGAATAGGTAATAATGTTAACTTTTTTAAATTAGGGATGAGTCAGAGTATTATAAACGTAAGAGTAAACAAATATGATCAGAATGCTCGAACTGCTAAGCTATCGGGAGTTATGCTGTTGCTGACATATGCTGTTGCAGGATATTTTTTAGACAATTTTATGTAGAATATTTCCGTCATACATGATTTCTATGTAACTTGAATCATTAAGGCTGCACACGCGACGGAAGCTTAAAAAATGGAGTAACTTCTCCCGTTTTCCCAACATTTCCCTTCACTACTCTGCTCCTATTGATTGTAGCGTGATGAAAAGTATACTATAACCTGCCCAGGAGTATGAAGAATAATAGTACCAAGTTTCGTTAAAATCCGTCGAGTAGTTTTTGTTTCTATAAGGAACATACACACAGACAGACAGACAGACAGACAGACAAAAAATTTACTGATTGCATTTTTGGCATCAGTATCGATCACTAATCAACCCCTGATAGTTATTTTAAAAATATATTTCATGTACAGAATTGACCTCTCTACAGATTTATTATAAGTATAGATGAATTTTTACATTTTCATTATAAATACTTATTTTACAATTGAGGTGCTGTATTAGCTTTATTTACTAGTCCTTATTTCTTTCTATTACATTTTATACTATTTCCCGACTAAACTCTAGGAATAGTTTCCTTTCTTTCACATTTTCAAAGATTTCCCTTAATGTGTCCTTACTGATTTGTGTATCAATGCGTGTTTGTAGTGTGTGTCTTTGTGTTCCGTACTGGGGGCACTCTACGAGAACATGGAAGATGTCCTCCTCTCCACGCAATGGAAAAATGCCATTCTACTTTTGTCTCAGCGCGTAAATGTCGCTTGACAAAAGAGATGGGGCAGCCGTCATAGTGCGATTTACATTTCAACCCGAGAGCCACTCCCTTCGCTAGTTCATCCGCCCTCTCGTTCCCGACCACGCCGACGTGGGCCCTGATCCAATACAGGGAGACGGTTTTTCCGTTTTCCTTAAGTTGGACCAGGTTCCCCTGTATTGCCTTTGTGATCGGGTGCGCGGTTTTCTTTGCGGGAGTGATGGAACGGGCGAGTCGAATGGTTCGGTAGCGTTCGGAAGCACTCAATACAGAGAGCTGCGTATCCGATCGGTAAATATTATGTACTGGAACTACTCAGTGCGGCAGCTCTCATTTTAATTATTAGGTCTTTACCTATGAAATTGCCGTTCTGCCGTACTGCCTTTTTCAAGTCATTTCAAGTCCATGTTTTCTTTTTTCACCAAGAATTCTAAGTTCAAATTATTTTTATTTTTAAAATATGGAATTCTCTTTTGAATATTAGCCATTTGTTAAATCAATATAAGTAGGAATATTCAAATGGATCTTATGCGTACAATATAAATGTGTATACACCTGAAATGGTAGGATCAAATGGCACTGTTCCTTGTACCTTGTTCCATACACAATAAAGATTTATTATTATCTTTATTTATTTTATACCATATTAATTACATTTCTAAATATTGATATAAAACTAAAAACATTTAAAAATATAAAAAATAGAAGCCAACCGGCAGCGGGAACATGGTCCTAGCTACCGGTGGTTAGGGCCCCAGAGAGAGGAACCTCCTCACTATGCGAGCCGTGTCAAGGAGCACTGCCTTCTGTATCAGGCCCTTGATCCAGTCACCCAACTCGAGCCTCCGCAGATGACAGTCGAAGCTCTTAGCTATCAGGCCATTGACTGTCACAACTATCGGCACAATGATAGCCGAGTCAACATCCCACATGGCGACAACCTCATGAGCCAAGT